CAAATTGGGCTTTATCAAGGTGAAAATTCTCAAAAACTATCAATCTAATGGATTGGAGTAACAACTATAAAAAAGACATCTGGCCACAATCTTCCTGATATGCATATATCTAAATGTGCAGACACACAAGCGTTCCCGACCAAAAACGCTTGTGTGTCTGCACCTTTAGATATATGCATATCAGGAAGATTGTGGCCAGATGTCTTTTTTATAGATTAGAGTCTCGCGTGTGCCCAAGCTTCCACGACATGATTTATAATATACATAAGTTTGATAATTGTCTCTAATATTTTTCAGATTCATTTTCTTTTCAATTGCATGCTCCGCAAGTGAATATCGACATGGACATAGAAGATTTTTGTCTCCTGACCAAGATCGTTCGTGTGCCGGCACCTTTAGGAACAGGTAGGCTAAGGTATTCTGTGTTATTAATGTAGCCGATAGTTATAGTTGAATAACAAAACTTATTGATTTGTCATGTATAAACAAACTACAATTCATTTCAGGTTATTTACAAATAAAAGTGGACCTAAACAATTTCTTTGCTTAACTATAACAATATTAAAGGGACAGGTTTGCCTTTGTTGGCGTTTGATTTGGATTACCATAGCTACCTTACAATAGGTCAAAAGGATGGCAAATCTGTCCCTTTAAGTTATGCTTGAGTTCATGAACCATTATTCACATGACAAGTGTTTACACACATTTCTCTATCTCTATTTACACTGTGGTAATAACTCAGAGATAAAGATAATTTTACTGAAAAACTGACCTCCAACCAAGTATAATGCCCCCCATGACCCTCAGTGCAATAACATCAAGGATAGAGTATTATAGTTTATAGATAGCAATGGGTCAGGTCATTATCATCATCCAAAGATACACACCAGGTACATAAGGGGTCAAGGTCTCAAGAAACCAAACCAAACCAACGACTACCATTCGACTACCAATCAACAAGAAATACCATGATCAGAACGAGTTTGGAAGAATGAAGGAGACCGAGTAACTCACGCCACACCATCCAGGGCCGAGTTTCACCGCCATGTCATTCAACCCGACCAGATCTAACGAAGAATCAACAACCAAACCAACAACACCGAATCATCCAATTTGATCCAATCCAACTACCAACTACTACGACTACCAACAACTACCTAGTTTGCGATATCAGCATCCGCTGGAAGCGAACGTTAACATCTACCTACCTACCTACCAAGAAACCAAGACTAGGTTAAAGTGGCAATATCTACTATGGTTGCAATGTATATTAAAGGGAATGTAAAGAGGTTTTCTAAATTTTTTTATGTGCATTGGGGACACCATTCCAATTTTCAATCAGACATCTGAGGTTCCTGCAATTCCACTATTTAAACTAAGTGTTTGATGACATCACTAATTGTGAAGGATATGTGGTACAAGTATGTTTTGCAATCAATGACGTCATCAAACAGTACAGTGGCTATGTCTTTGTCAAAATATGTCAAGGTAATGTCTCAACGTGGTTAAGTCTATATCTAAGTGAATATGTCTATATTAAAGTGGATATGTCTATATTAAAGTGGTTATGTCTATATTAAAGTGGCTATGTCTATAATAAAGTGGCTATGTCTATATTAAAATGGCAATGTCTATATTAAAGTGGATATGTCTATATTAAAGTGGCTATGCCTATATCAAAGTGGCTATGTCTATATTAAAGTGGCTATGTCTATATCTAAAAAAGCTATGCCTATATTAAAGTGGCTCTGTATATATTAAAGTGGCTATGCCTATATCAAAGTGGCTATGTCTATATTAAAGTGACTATGTCTATATTAAAGTGGCTATGTCTATATTAAAGTATCTATGTCTATATCAAAATGGCTATGTCTATATTAAAGTGGCTATGTCTATATCTTAAAAAGCTATTAAAGCGGCTCTGTATATATTAAAGTGGCAATTTCTATATTAATGTAGCTATGTCTATATCAAAGTATGCCTCAAGGCTATGCCTATATTAAAGTGGTTATGTCTATATCAAAGTGGCAATGTCGATATCAAAGTGGCCATGTCTATATCTAAAAATGCTATGCCTATATTAAAGTGGCTCTGTATAATATTAAAGTGGCAATTTCTATATTAATGTAGCTATGTTTATATTAAAGTATGCCTCAAGGCTATGCCTAGATTAAAGTGGTTATGTCTATATCAAAGTGGCAATGTCGATATCAAAGTGGCCATGTCTATATTTAAAAAAGCTATGCCTATATTAAAGTGGCTATGTCTATATTAAATTGGCTATGCCTATACTAAAGTTTCTATGTCTATATTAAAGTATGCCTCAAGGCTATGCCTGTATTAAAATGGTTATGTCTATATTAAAATGGTTATGTCTATATCAAAATGGCTATGTCTATATCAAAGTGGCTATGTGGATATCAAAGTGGCCATGTATATATTTAAAAAAGCTATTCCTATATTAAAGTGGCTATGTCTATATTAAATTGGCTATGTCTATATTAAAGTATGTCTCAAGGCTTTGACTATATCAAAGTGGCTATGTTTGTATCAAAATATGTCTTAACGCTATGTCTTCGGCAAAGTGGCTCTGTCTATAGAAAAGTATGAATCAGACTATGTCTATATTAAAATGGCAATGTCTATATTAAAGTGGCTATGTCTATATCAAAATGGCAATGTCTATATCAAAATGGCAATGTCTATATCAAAATGGCAATGTCTATATCAAAGTATGACTCAAGGCTATGTCTATATTAAAGTGGCTATGTCTATATCAAAGTATGACTCAAGGCTATGTCTATATCAAAGTATGACTCAAGGCTATGTCTATATTAAAGTGGCTATGTCTATATCAAAGTATGACTCAAGGCTATGTCTATATCAAGGCTATGTCTATATCAAAGTATGACTCAAGGCTATGTCTATATCAAAGTATGACTCAAGACTATGTCTATATCAAAGTATGACTCAAGGCTATGTCTATATCAATATGGCAATGTCTATCATCTAGTGATAATTTATGAATAAATGGTAAAATTCATGTGACAACATTTAAATCAAAGTGGCGATGTTTAGATTTATTGAGTTATGTCTAGAATCGGAACTGGATAAATATCTTTGCTCACATATAGCTATTGATATTTTGACTTACCTCAATTGAATGGGAGCATCCACACAACCAGCATCACAGGCATAGTAAGGTTTATCATTTCTATCTAATGATACATATAGATTGGCTTTATTATCTTCTCCAACTATTACTGATATATTTACATGGGTATTATTACCATAATTAATACGATGGAAAAATATATCTCGATGTAGTTCTTTAGGATGTCGTTTTAATTCTAAATGTTGATTTTTAAATTCCAGGGCACCAAAACTTAATACCATTGCTTGTAAAACACCTTCTGCACCTTGAATATCAAATAGTCAAATATTTCAAACTAAAATCATAATCAAAAAATAGCAAAGGCCATAAAATAGCACAACAATTTGAACTATAAAGTCAAATTATTTCATTTTCCAGCTGATAGAGCTCAATTGTATCAACTTTCAATTCTTTTGCAACTTAAGACATTATGATTGTTCTCACTTTCATATCAATAAGCATATCATCACAGGCTGTAATGTAATGGACATACCGACAGATTGGATCTTAAGGATACCTTTTTTGTTGAATAACACGTTAACTGAATGCCAGATTTTAGTTCTGAAAAGAGATACAGATAGTTCAAATCTGATTGCCTTACCTGATTGCACAATTCCTGAACAACCCTGTTTTTCTAAGGTTATCATCCATGTTGTAACGACTCTAGCTATATGATCTTCATCTACTACGTCCATCCATAATGTCTCAGCTTGTCTGGGAAATATAAAAAATTAAAATAACTATGTGAACCATGAGAACCCAGTCACAATGTTATTCTAGAAGTTTTAAAACTATCAAAGAGGGGGACAACAATTGTTACAAGGATAACAACTAAGCCAAATGGTCCTTGGCCAAACCTATTGTCATAGATCTACTTATCTGTACCCATTTACAGCTATGTCAAATGGAATAATGAAGAAAGTTGACTTAATCAAGATCACCACAATTTAACATCTCTAACCGAGATTAGTACCCTTGGCTAACATTTGTTTGACATAACCAAGAATATGAGGTAATGAAAAGATTCCAACTCTCTAGCTGACTGCGCTACAGCCAGTCCTCAAATGCAATTGAGAAACTATTTCTGCAATGACTTGTGAAAATAAAATACAGAATTAAGAATATAAAGCCTGCCATAAAGTAATTGTTTCGATAACCACCCTTATTGTGGTTTATTTTAAAACTGTTCTAGCCTTTATGTAGACATGTACTTACAATGTAGAATGGCCAGCATAACAAGTATCAGGATAATATAAAACTTTTAATATTTCATTTCTTTGTTGTTTAGTTGTAGTTATTTCATGAAGTGGAGCTGGGACATTACATAGTACATAATATATAGTAGTATTAATTTTGCCACCATTGATAGCTTTCTGAGCTTTTGAATCACTGATACTAAATCCTGTTTTCCACAGCTACAATGTAAAAATCACATATTAAAAGAGGACAACACCATATGGTGTACAATAAGGGAAATTTTGTCAATGATACTAAAACCTGATTTTAGTGTTCCAATCATCTGATTGGTCAATATATTTTTCAAATTTTGGATTTTATCTTTGCAAATTTTTAAAGAATAAGGCACCTGAATTCATTTCTCAATAAGTTTACAACAGATTTGAGTGTTTTCAGCTATTTTCTACCTCATTACTATTCACATGATTGTTAGAATATTTGACAGGTAGAGACCAGACTCTGTTTAAAAACTTAACTCAATCATATACTTCTAATACAAATTCTTATCTTGGATTGTTTGTGTGAAATGTGACCTTGTTGTTTCAAATTTGACATAAAACAAATAAAAATCATTAACTTACCTGTTCCCAAACTTTAACATGTTCTCTTAGAAGTAATTTCTCATTAATATTCATAACTTCTTCCATATCCTACAGCAAAATTTTTAAAACATTAACATGAACATATATCAACATGCATCAAAATCAAGCACTGATAGTGTAAACTAAATTTTCCTCCTCCTGATTTTTCTCTTTTCTAAATACTGTATGTAATTCTTCAGAACATCAAATCAAAAAATAATATCAATTATTATATTTCTATTTCTATATGATATAATTATATTACAGAGACTACGGTAGACTATTCACTGGATTATGTATTCATACAGTACTCACATGTATATTCTATATGAAACGATGTCATATAAAGAACAGTCTTACAGAATGAAGTCTGACATTGTTGTTTCAATCCACCGTATAATAAATACTAACCTTCTTTACTTTTTTGGTTAGTTCAGGAATATTTGATTCAGCTTCAGCTTTTGTCATGCCTTTAGTATAATGTACTACAGTAACTATATGTTGTTTGTGTTTGCTGAAAAAAAAAGGAATTGAATCATGTACATTTTATGATGGAAGTGAAAGTTGACTCTCGACCAAGTCTCAAAAGAACCAAGCATGACATCAGAAATGTTTATTTTTTTTGTGTGAATGCCAATAATGCCCTAGCACCATAGCAATCATGAGTTGCATATGATTGCGAATAAAATTAGCATTTATAAGTTTCAAACGCAAATCCCATGCAACTGTGTTGTGTTATGAACTCATGACCACTTTCATTATTCACAACCATACACAACTGGTAATCACAATGGGGTAAGGACACTTTAAGACGTTTACTGGGTTGATAGAAACACTTTTCATTTTTATTTGGCTTGAATTCTATTACGCTATCACTCATTAAACAGTATTTATGTGTGATATTCATAGCAAAAAGTGATACAGGCAAAATATAGAAACAAAAGTGGAAAATCAGACCGTATCCCATCTGATTACCTATTAGGCTTAATAACTAGTGTTGTATTAATTACATATTAGGTTTAATAACTAGTGTTGTATTGATTACCTATTAGGTTTAATAACTAGTGTTGTATTGATTACCTATTAGGTTTAATAACTAGTGTTGTATTGATTACACATTAGGTTTAATAACTAGTGTTGTATTGATTACCTACTAGGTTTAATAACTAGTGTTGTATTGTTTACACATTAGGTTTAATAACCAGTGCTGTATTGATTACCTATTAGGTTTAATAACTAGTGTTGTATTGATTACCTACTAGGTTTAATAACTAGTGTTGTATTGATTACCTATTAGGTTTAATAACTAGTGTTGTATTGTTGACCTATTAGTTTTAATAACTAGTGTGGTATTGATTACCCATTAGGTTTAATAACTAGTACTGTATTACTTACCTATTAGGTTTAATAACTAATGTTGTATCGGTAATGACTCTAGTAGCTATAGCAGCACCGACTACTAAATCAGGATGGTCAGGTACCAAGACAATACCAGTTGATAGTCTATAGTTATATACTCCCTCATTACCATTCCTTAGTCTATAATTACATATATATACCCAATTAAAACATCAAATACAGTATATTGACAATTAATATATAAAATAACAATGTTAAAATAGTGCTCAATACATCACAAGTAGTTTATTTTTTTATATAATTGACATACATGATGGCTTTCAACATCCAATAATTGTTTAACTAAAATTCTTACAAAAAAAGTATACCAAATCTGCATCTGCCACTGATAAAAATATTTAGAAGCAGAAGTCTGCCTATTTTTGCCTTTAAATCTATGACTCTTCCATTGAAGATAAAATAAACCGACTTACTGTAATGTTTTAGTCTGGGCACCAGTCCAACCAGAGGCTCCAATCTGATCAAAATCTACAGTGACTGGATCTCCCTATATATATATATCATAAAGTTACAATTTATGTTCTAATTTGGGCACAAAAACCTCCCTTAGCAAAGTAAGGGACTCAAGAACATGAGAGAATTGCAGTGGATTTCATGTACTACATGTTAATTTAATTTGACAGTGCATAAAGGTGTGCAATACAATGTAAGTTATAACAAGAAAATATTGATTGAAAATGGTCCAAAACTTCTTTTTTTTTACAATTAAATTGTAGTGGTTTCATATTGAGGATTCACATCTTTATCAAATCTCACTAAGGTCTAAAATAATTTAAGATAATCTAACATGCATTTTTCATTGATCACGTGAAATGGGAAATACTCGCAAAATACCAACAAAGTAAATTGTAAGGAATTTTGAATAAATATGATATACTTACAGTAGGGTTACTAATACTAATATCTTGTACTAAAACTGATGGTCGAGATCTATGGGCATATAATGATGACTCTACTTGTACACAATGCCATGACTAAAACACAGAATGATACTGAATTAGGACTAGCCCAAGTTAATTTAATCATAGTAAACTTTAAAAGATAGCAAAAGTTGTGATTCAGACAGTAAAAAGGCCTATAAGTCAAGAAAGATACCCCACCCCGATAGAAATGTCACTGTAGGGGATATTTCTACATAAAAAAAGTTTCACTAACCTGTTTAAAAGACTGGAATTTATGGACTATTCCTGATTTTATATCTAATACAAAAGACTCTACAATAATACAAAAACATTTATCATATAAAAAAAACCATAAAAATATTTTCTGACATAAAGCAGCACAAAATATGAATGTACCAGTCAGTGTACATTTTAGAAATATTTTCATACTAGGTAAAAATGAGGTTCTCTAGATCTGTTTTTTTCACTTGATTATTGGTTCGTGAATTTTAGCAATGCAAATTTTCCAAGATTTATTTTTTTATCTCATCAGGTTAATTAACAGGTAATAAATCTAAAGGTGAGAATGTCAACTATAGCCTGCTGTAACCAAAATTGGAGAACACAACCACTTATTTTGCAAGACCTTCTCCAGTAAATGCTGGGATGGAACCTAGATCACTATTTGAAGGGTAAAACAGCTCTGTGCCTACTAGTGCTTAAACACTTTTCATATGATACATGAAGGAGGCAAAAGCTAACTCTGGCACTAGCTCTGGCATCAGAATCTCTAAGTTTGAATAATCTACTTGCCTTTTGTATCTTTACGATCTATATTCATATTAACTACAGGATAGAAGTTGACAGGAAGAGCTAAAGCTCTATTGAGTCGTATAAACAAACCATTTTCTGTACCAAAGGCAGCAGCTAGGTGACCATTTCCTGTAAAAAATATGATTGTTTAACTAAATTCAATGCCTTCCCTTTCTTAAAGAAGCCTACAGCATTTACAAATATAACAGGGTTCAGGTTGTAAGATTTGCTATCACAAGGCAGAAATGCAACACATTTATCAGGTGAATGCATGGTATCCATCCAAGGTTCTTTTATACATTTTCAAGTCAAGTCATTTTCACAAGTTTTTACTAATCTACAATTATTGTTAAAAACATTGAATAGGGGCATCAATATGTTATCATTCAAGAAGAGGTTTTATCAGAATTATCAGATCTTAAAACACAATTGCACCAACAGAGTTTTTATTTCTAAATCTATAAATGCATACTGTAACTGAATAATACTTTACTTATTTTAACCCAGTGCCGATTGTTGGAAAGTAACCATTTTGTTCAACCACTCTAATCACTAATTATAAATGAATAGGCATACCCTTCAAAATCACATGTCATAAATCCTTTTTGCTAAGAACGAAAATTGCAAGTGTTGATCAGCTATGTCGGGCATAAAAAAACAAACTAACCTGTATAAGCTGGGTAGGGTTTTTCATCTTCTTCTAAAGGATTATGGTTAATAAATGCATCATAATTTAGTGATTGTTTAAAGAATGTTTGAACTTTTTCATCCAGACATCCATTAGACACTGAAACATACAGTAATAAATAACTTAGACCATCAGCTATCAAATATGAAATGGAGCACTTTCAATATTGACTTGAGAACCTTGAAATTTGAAGTCACTGTCTATAAAGCAAACCTCCAGTTTGAAAAGCCAAATTGGGATTATTATTTATGTATTATGATCATTTCATAGTGAATCATATGACATGAGTGTGGATATGGTAGATATATTGGTAAAGTGAATCATGTTTAACAGAATGGGGGAAAGAACACATGTCCCTTTTGTCATCAATGAAATTTACACATAATATATCCATCAGGAAAATTGAACAACAGCAATTCCTCAGTTGTGATCTGATAGATTATTCTACAGAATCTCAAAAGATTTAACAAAAAAAGATCCTTATATGGAATAAATCAGAAATAATCCACCTGTCAAATCAAATAAATTACTGTTCATGTATTACTTACAGTTTGGTCGTTTAGTAGTACCACCATGACCAAATAAACTAGCACCCAGATAGTAGACTAATATCAATAATAATAATACAGCAACAATTACTTTTCTTGATCTTAAAATAGATGGTTATAAAGTTAACCTAACCATTTATAATCATATTTACACAGAATAGCTTACTCAGATTTTATTCGTGGAAAGTTCACTCCATTTTCAAACCAGGATGAATATCTTATATCCATAGTACAGTTGGCAGTTATTGAAACGTTGTGTTTAATCAGAAATTTATATCCATAAAAATTGTTGTTCTAAAGTTGTAGGTCCTCGATCACAAAAATGTAACTTACAAAAGAGATAGTTCCCCTAAATCAGACATGAATCTAATAATAATGAAACTACAAAAAATTTAAATTCTCAAGTCATCAGCAATATCTGTATTGACTTTTTACTAATGCAAACATATTGAAGTCTATTCAAGAACCATAAAAAGAGCAATCACAAAATAATTTATTCCCATCTTGTAAACCTTGTCCTGACACACAAATCAGTTTCATCAAAGAAAAAACCGTTAGATCAGCACATAAATCTGGTCTGTAACTAAATAACTGATCATAAACATAACAGATACATCTGCTACTCAATATCATTATATATTACATAATAAATACCATAGGAGGCAAATCTCATAATCTTATAATGTTAACTAATCCAATAAACAATTCAATCATGGAAGTAGTTCTACAAGACCCATTAACCAGTAGCGGATGCCCTGTCGTCCATCGAAGGTCATTACTTAATGATATCTTCAGTTTTACATCATAAACTTATTGCATTTATTTCAGAGAGACAAATATGGAAATTTTAGGGGCAGGCATGGAGCAAAAATCTTTCAGGAGACCTTATTTTTTACAGATAAACTTTATACCATAATACCATAATAAAAACAAAACTTGTGGTCATTTTCTGTTGTAATAGTTATGTAATAACCTTGATACTATGAATACCAGTGGTGGTAATGTCAGTATTATCGATATGCAGGGAAATGGCTAAATACGATTCATTCATATGACATTGATAGCCTAAAATTAAGTAAAATATCATATGGATTTAAACTCAAAACATGATTAAGTGTAACCCTCCTTAAGCAACAGACTTCATAACTTCAGCTATTAGCCTAATTTCAAAACTTTAGTCGTAAGCCTTGGTGTCATAATATTGGACGTGGCCAAGACGACCAAGGGTTTTAGTCTTAGCCAAAAGTTAGAAGTGATGGGGGTGGGGGTAATGAATACGCTGTTTAACTCACCTACTAAGAGAACCAAATGCATTAATGGAACTCGTTAATTTAGATTTCAGCCACATTAGTCTTATTTTATGGAAAAACTTAAAAGGACATAAACAAACTTGTTGTACAACTCTTATTCCATTCCTCATAATAAAATAAAAAAAAATCAACGTAAGAAGGAAACCATGTTGTCAGTCCGCAGTTATGGTTCGATTATCCAGTCCTTCAAAATTTTATAAAAAAATATTGATGTTAAATAATTGATTATGAATATACAACAATGCAGATAAACATTATATTTTCGTAATTTACAATGTCTTACAGGTGCATTCTTTGAAATTTTTTCTCACAAGATTATTTTTTTACTGTTCGTTGAAAACAAGACTGGACAATTGTTCTACAAATGACTTAAGTGCTGGATTAACTTCCGTCTAAATGTTTTCATTGGAGATGATGATCCTGTTATAAAATGTCGTTATAAAAAAACATTATTTAACAAAGTCTCCCACTGCTTTCTTTATGGTATCCTAATCCAACTTATCTATGTCACCTTGCACTTTCTCTATTTGGAGATTATGAAAAGCATCTGAAAAACTTTACACTTCACTTTCACAATCAAAAACTGATTTGATGATTTTGACAAGTGTAGGCTACTGATGGCAGAATAACTTCCAGCCCTGTCAAAAATGTAACCCAAAATTGATGATAGTTAGATATTCTTAAAAATTTCATTTAGAAGACCAGTAAACAGATGTCTTGCCTTGAAATCTATTCAAGATTTAGACTATCTAAGCAGGGTTCAATTTGGATTGAAAAGTGATTAGAATCAAACATGCTTAGTTTTTGCTGATCAAGGTGATTGTGATCCACATTTCACAAAAACTCGCTAGCAAATATTTCAGTTGCAGACTTGCAGATGATGTTAATTCCTTTTAACTATAGAGACAGTTGCCTAATATTACTAAAATAGATAATTCTGATGAGAAATTTACAATTTTATTTAAATCGCAGATCGTCATTATAAATTTTAATTTTGGCTAATCATCATAGGAAATATTTGGATTGCAACAGGGGATATTTTGACTTGCTAACTGTGATGTGATACGGCTTAAACTTAAATTGAACCCTGTATCTTAGTCTATGTGAAATAAGTTTTAGTATAGTCTATCTGTAGGCCAAATTGTTTACGCCTAGTCCTACACAACGTCAGTTACTTATGTTTATGATAACAGTTGTGAGAAATATTAATAATGCATTAGCTGACAGTTATGATTTTTAAGATTGTAATTTATTTTTCAGATATTGTCTGTGATAAACTATAAAGATGTTGGTGCCAATCTTTACTTTGAAATTAAATCATAAAGTCAACCCTCAGATGGTGGCAGTTGGTAAATATGATGGAATTCATACTTCACTAGCTTGTGCTACTTCAGCTGGAAAGGTGAAACGCATGATTATTAATTGTAAAACTTGAAAAGATGTTCCTAAGCCATCAAAACATAGAAAACTTTGCGAAGTTGAAATTATTCAGATGCAGGTGCACACATATTTGTGCAATAGATTCCTTCAAATTACTGTTCCAAAAGACTGGATATGAAGGTGCTTTTGCTTGCTTGTGAAAAGTGCTTTAAGTATTAGGGAAGAGCTCAAAAATATTTCCATTTTATATTTGTCAAACAATGATTTTATTTATAATATTTATAAGACATATAGAAGGAGGAATGTCAACTGCAAAAACACAAGTTATATGGATAAATTTTACTTGTTAACGTTATCTGTATGTGTTTCAAAACGTGATATGTACAAAATTCAGAAGTAGTAATGTATATCCATATATCTTGTGTTTTTATTCAAAATTTTTTACATAATTATTGAAAGAAACATAATATAGAATCTGAAAACAAGAAGGTATCAGTAAGAGAATTTATTTTCTATTTTTGAAGGTCTTGATACATAATCCCCATAAGAGAAGACTGCAGTCTGAAGGTCGTATGAGTGGTGGTGAAGGAGATATTAGTCTATTGAATATCAACCAACAAGTTACAGCAGTAGAATCAGGTAGATTGGTAGCTGGTACTCAGAAAGATACATTAGTTATTGGTACTCAGACTAATTTACTAGCTTATGATGTGGACAATAACTCTGATCTCTTTTATAAAGATGTAAGTCATAGTTTCTCTATTTGTAACTGTTTTTTTTAAGCTGTATATTGATTAGTCTGCTATGCCTTGTTACTAACTTTGCCTACTGCAAAACCATGCTTGATATGAGTTTTTATAAAACCTGACTGGAATACTTCCTATAATGAATATACAGGGATTCTATTGTTAAGTTGTGACACCGTGTGAGTCCTCTCCTCTAATATTTACTCTTATTGGCCAAGTTTGAGAATTTCATAGTTTCCCTAAGAGAGAAAGTTTTCCTTTAATAATAGCGTTGCTAATCCAAGAATATTACAGGGCTATTTTATTTGAACATTTTCCCCAGAGGCCAGAGGAGGATAAATTTATGAAACAAACATATGCTGTGTGGATCAAAGGTGTGTCTAGTTGACAAACTCCGCCTCATTGTGACAACAGGTGTTCTCAGGCCTCTAAAACCCCTTTAAAATACCCCGTGGAAAATTTTCTTCTGGAATACAGTGATGCACGAAGAAGAATTTAATTACTGGAGATAAGAATATGTCTTTTTGTTTTGACTAATCTGAGGTTCTTATTTATATCCAAGACTAAACCATATCAAATTATGGGAGATATATGTTACTATGTTGTATGATGTATTATTTTCAGACTCCTGATGGATCTAATGCTATAGTATTGGGTAAATTAGGTTCACTGGATCCTTTATTAGCAGTAGTTGGTGGTAATTGTTCTATACAAGGATTTGATTCTGCTGGCAATGATGCTTTCTGGACTGTAAGCATATATTGATATTTAACTTAGTTTTTGTGGTCTGAGTCAAAATGACATTGAATTTTCAATGTGAATAAGAGGGGTTGAAAGTTAACAAGTTACTATTAATCAGAAGGCACTGGCACAAGGTATTCTGAATACTTAAAGATTTAGATCAAAATTTTATTCTGGAATTGTATAGAGCTAAATTCAGCTTTTTGAAATATTGATAAATGCCTATATTCTGAATTATTTCCTTTGAATTTCATTCTCACCTGTATCTGAAAAAGACCATTTTAAAACAAGTTGTATACATATCTGTAGTTATTCATGTAATGTCTTAAAGATTTTATTGGTTTTCTGTAGGTAACAGGTGACAATGTGTCTTCATTGACTTTAATGGATTTTACTGGTAATGGTCAAAATGAGGTAAGTGTATATTACTAGTGAATAACACACTGTAAAATCAATACAGTTATTATATTGAATTATCTAGCATTCTGAATAATCACATTTTTAAAACATCTATTGAAAACTTTGTCTGATACCTTGACATCCTTGGGTACTTTTTTTTGAATCACTGAATTTTGAGATGCTGCAATTTAATTGAATTTTATGCTTGCGAATACAGCAAATAAGAGGCCTTGACAGATGTGCATATAACTACTAGTTAGGTGAATTATTGTGTCTAACACTGCATTTGATTGGTTATATATACCATTCTCACATGGGACCACATTCTAAATGAATGATTGTGTGATTATTTTAGTTAGTAGTTGGATCTGAAGATTTTGATATTCGTGTATTCAGAGAAGACGAAATCATAGCAGAAATGACTGAAACAGAGGTAAGTTCAATTCAAACATTGATCTTTTAAGGAACATCTCATTCTTTTTGGTGAAATCTGTATTTTTGGTTGCCAATATGACACAGTATCATATTGTTGTTTACTAATAGTCATATTTCCAGTTTCCCCCTGTTAGTGATGCAGTGAGTAGTTGAATAAGACAATAAAGTGAGGCTCAATGGGCTACACACTGCGCATGTTAAAGATGCCTTGAAGGTTAGAAATAGAAAAAGGAGTAGGCCAATACTGCTGTCAAATTTTGAAGAAATTTCTGTCATAGTGCACTGCATTTCCTGTCTTCATTAACCCAATCAGGTCAAGAAAAGTATAACATAAAACTATATTCATATTTATGTCATTAAACATATAGTTATAGAATCTTCTGTTTTCAGACAATAACGGCACTATGTTCTATGAGTGATAATAAATTTGGTTATTCACTAGCTAATGGAACTGTTGGAGTTTACGAGAAAACTGCAAGATTCTGGAGAATTAAGGTAAGTAATTCTTTGTATGAATTGTTTGTTTGTTTGTCCGAGCAATTCTTCCGGTTCAAATCTACCAAATTGTTGAATTTATTTGCACAAAGTTTTGAACTAATTGAAGACTTTTAGCTTTATAGATGAACAGAAACATTTGCATTTTGTTTCGTCAAGTTTTTACAATCACAATTTAAAACAGAAAAATGCTTATCAATGATGCCTAAAAGAATTGCCTGCTAGTTATTCTAGTGAAGACTATAAATGATAACACACTTGATAAATATCTTATTAATGCTATGTTCTCTTTAACCGACATTTTTGACATTTGAATATTTTTGAAATTTTCAGTCTAAGAATCAAGCTGTATCTATTAGTAGTTTTGATCTTGATGCTGATGGGGTACCAGAATTAATAACAGGATGGAGTAACGGCAAGGTACAATCTTTTATTTCTTTTTTCTTCTATCAAATCATTGTTTTATGTTAAAACTTTTCCCTTTAAAACATTTTTCATATAGTCATGTACACAGAATCATTTTCTGATATGAGTCATAAATGAAAATTGGTACTTTACGGAACAATTGTAGTCTAGCAATATAAACCTACGTTAATTTTCAAAATCTTTGAGATACTTCCAAAGGCACATGTGACAACAACAATCAACTGACCCTGATTTAGAATCAAAAGCTGCAACAAACCACAAAAGTGGAATGTATCAAAAAACTTGTGTCAGTTGATGTTTGATCATATTTGTTTTATTATTAAGATTGATGCTAGAAGTGATAGATCAGGAGAAGTTATATTTAAAGATAATTTTAATCATTCAGTAGCTGGTATTGTACAGGTAGGTGTTGGTATTTGAAATTTGAATGATTTACTGTCATACATGTTGCAAGTCATTATAATGATTGAGGTTTATGTATATTGGCAGCAGATTCTATTTGTATAATTTCAATAACCTGTATTTGGATCCTGTTCATTATTAAATTCTAAATATTTTAATGTATATTTTTTGATGGGAATCCATGAAATCAAAGGAATTGACTCCTCCCCTTCCCATTATTGTCTTGTGTTGAAGAGTTTTTCATTACTTTATATATTTAAAGGGAGATTACAGAATGGATACCATGGCATCAGCAGATCAACTTATTTGTGTCTCTGTTGAGGGAGAAGGTATGTTTTTTCTCTATCATTTACTTTCCTATAACCATTTAAAATGTGGTGCATGTATTGTTTGTTGAACTACACTGAAAAGAAAGTCAAAGTGGGTCAAAACATGTGTCACTGAAAGTGTTTTAATCAGGTGTAGATCAATGTAATCATAAAAACCTTGAATGCTTTTAATGTATTTTAATTTTATACCTCATCTTCCTGGTATTAAAATATCTATACTAAAAAAGGTATTCAGAGATTTAATTTCTACTTAATCACACTATTTATAGAGTATATTTCTTATCTAAATTCTATAAAATATATTTTAAGTGCGAGGTTATAATCCAGCAGCACCTGATATGTCTGGTAATTTAATGGACGCCAATCTAGAACAAGACAGTATCAGGGAACTTAGTCAGAGGAAACAGGTAAAACAATCTGCAGCAAAGCTAATATCAATAAAGTGTGGTTACGGAAGGCGCTTTTTGTTTATTGTATCTTGCATAGTAAAAGAGTATATATTGACATAATTCATTTATTCATTTGAATAAAATTTTATAGTTCAGCAAAGATATTTTTTCACATCTGAGGATGATTCTGAGGATGATTCAAAAACAGTCCACTTCATTTTGAGATAGTTGGTTGAAACTGTTACTATCAAGACTTAAGTCACATTCATTATTACTTAAGCTAATATTGTAAAATATATTCCGAGTTATGATTTTTTTTGTACAGAATCTAATGTTAGAGTTGAAAAATTATGAAGAGAATATCAGGCTAGGATCAGGTGGTGTTGATGCTGTAGCTAGTCTACCCCAAGCTGGATCTTCTACTAGTACCCCTGTCGCTAGTTCTGGTGCTGTTATTACTACAGTAGGGAATCAGATAGGAGAATATGATAAAGCACAGATGGGTATTATACCTGTAAGTATTGAACTTTATATCCTGTAGTATAACCACTGCCTTTATATCCTGTAGTATGACCACTGTCTTTATATCCTGTAGTATGACCACTGTCTTTATATCCTGTAGTATGACCACTGTCTTTATATCCTCTAGTATGACCACTGTCTTTATATCCTGTAGTATGACCACTGTCTTTATATCCTGTAGTATGACCACTGTCTTTATATCCTGTAGTATGACCACTGTCTTTATATCCTCTAGTATGACCACTGTCTTTATATCCTCTAGTATGACCACTGTCTTTATATCCTCTAGTATGACCACTGTCTTTATATCCTGTAGTATGACCACTGTCTTTATATCCTGTAGTATGACCACTGTCTTTATATCCTCTAGTATGACCACTGTCTTTATATCCTCTAGTATGACCACTGTCTTTATATCCTGTAGTATAACCACTGCCTTTATATCCTGTAGTATGACCACTGTCTTTATATCATGTAGTATGACCACTGTCTTTATATCCTGTAGTATGACCACTGTCTTTATATCCTGTAGTATGACCACTGTCTTTATATCCCGTAGTATGACCACTGTCTTTATATCCTGTAGTATGACCACTGTCTTTATATCCTCTAGTATGACCACTGTCTTTATATCCTGTAGTATGACCACTGTCTTTATATCCTGTAGTATGACCACTGTCTTTATATCCCGTAGTATGACCACTGTCTTTATATCCTACTGCTGTCTTTACATTCTCAATTTACTTAGAGGATTATGATAAAGGTGAAATTATGAAGCAATTAATTAAAAATGGCAGAGAAAGGTTGTAGTACCTGTCTGTAAGGTCAGCTGTCCTCGGTTCCTGTCTGCACCCCCAGTTTGGCAAGCCCTTCAAGGGGTGAATAACTGTGCACTATACTCACAAATATATGGTATTCATTTATGATTTATTTCAGGCTAATACCCAATTACAGACAACTCTAGCTGTTAATTCTGGTGATGAGAAAACTCCTGTAAGTTATTAACATTAACATGTTAAATCTTAAATTTGATTATCACCATGTAATACTTTCTCCTGTATGTTAGATATATTTCTTTATGGATAAGTAGTTTCTGGTAATCAGAAAATGTTAATTAATATAATATGATATATATAGTAGAATCTGTAATATTTCAGGCTCATGTAGAATTGTTGATCAGTACATCAAATGGTAAGTAGATAAAGATAAACAGAATATTTTGAGTTTGGTATATATGTATATAACTCAGAAATAATGAAAATAAGTATTGAATTCTATCAGCTATCATTGTAATATAGACTTTTAGAGTTTTTAATTTGGTTCAATTAGGCATTGGTAATCTTATAAGACTATGTACCTAGAACTAACATACAAGAGTTATTAAACAGATTATATTTATAAGACTGTGTTGTATTTGTAGAAACTGTAATAAGAGCTGTACTGATATTTGCTGAAGGTATTTTTGAAGGAGAAAGTCATGTAGTGTAAGTATTGTATGTATGATGTTAAGTTTGGACCCAAAATTTCTAATTTACATTTGGCATCTTTGAAAGTTTTTTTCTAATTCTTTCAATTCTCACTAATGAGTTTCCGAAAAAACTTTCATAGTGTTAAGATGTCTTTTTAAAGTGGGTTATCTCAAAGACTTTTCTAATTTTTGAAAATGATTATATTTTTGGAAAATAACTAGTTTTTAGCAAATATTTCATAATGTAAAAGCTCCTTTTTTGAGAAATTTTTATTGAATTATATTTTCAGACATCCTGTAAGTTCTATCCTATCAGCTAATCTGAAAGTACCAATTATTCCACCTAAAGATGCCTTAGTTGATCTCCATATTAAAACCATGGTTGGTTCTAAAACCAGGTAAGAAATCCATTTTTGATTTAAGTTTTATTAACCAATAATATAACTATTTTTCCTAAAATCTGGATTCTATCTTAGTTAAGTTTTCTAGAATAATCCACACAATATAAATCTCACTCCACACAATATAAATCTCACTAATTTAAGATAACAATATTCACATAAAAGTTTTTTGACTTACTATTTGTTTGTTTTTTTCAGTACCCAATTCCATGTTTTTGAGTTGACACGACAGTTACCCAAGTTTTCTATGTATTCACTGATTGATCCCAATATTCCTGACCCTAAAAGTTCAGTTACATTCCAAATAAATGATAGAGTTCAAAGGGTAAGATTTAAAATTTTGAAAGGTTTATAAGGACAAGTTAAGGAGTAGAGTCTCTCAGTTGATTATAAAAGAAATATGTAAAGTGTTTCCAAATACACGTACTGATATATATCTTAACTTCTGTTCCAACATGTCCAAAAATATTATATAACTCTACCATGTTTCCTTGGCAGGTAAACCTAGTGTATGAGACCAAAATGGAAAACTTTCATGACGCATTTTTGTGTAAATATGAAGACATGCAAGAAACTGTAAAAAATATTAGTATGGAAAACTCCTATCATATTAAAATGGTCAATGTACGTTACTATATGATAAAGTAAACCAGGATTTCACAGTTCACTTACTTTACTAATACATATACATACCATGTCCATGGTTTCAATTTTAGGTTTTATTATGGATCAATCAGAATTTCTTGATGCAGGAAGATTTAGAATGTGAAGGAAATTTAAGAGTTGCCTTTATGTCATTACGTGGTACTGGTCCTTTAATAATACAGATGGAACAAAATAGCCAGGTTTGTAACTTTTATTTGACATTTTTCAACATTATGTGGTTTTTAAAATACTTTAAACATTAAAATTTATCGACAGTTTGACAAAAAGATGTTGTGTTGGCAAAATAACCTTGACTACTTCACAGAATTTCTTCTATCGCATGCTTTGTTTGATCTATTTATAGATGTGTATTAAGACTGATAATATGGATTTAGCTGGTGATATTATACAATCTGTAGCTAATTTCCTGAAAATAGAAGATTTACAGTCACTGGTAGAATATCCTACAGAGATGGAGACTTTAGAGAAAGTTCTTGTCAAGGTTAACTTATATATCTTATATGATCACATTGCTTGATACATTTGTATATTTTTGACTACATTTCATATCCACATTTGTTCTTAAATGGAGCTGCAGTGGCTCAGTGAGTTAGATTCTTCCTCACTAATGTGTAAGTCTAGCGAAGGTCGAGATAATACCTTTGGATTTTTCAACCTTGTTTGGAGGTTGCAGGTTTGAAGGGCTGATATTGAAAAAGCTTTTAGTTGTTTTAATGGGACAATAAACAGCAGTCCTGTATCAGTTGTAAACAAATGATGTAATGGCAGGTAAAAAACTTTGTTTTACAGGTTGATGACTATCATTCAGTCAGACAGAAATTAACAGCAGAAATGGCCGACCATTCTAATCTTATACGTAGTATGGTGGTCAGAGCAGAAGATTCGAGAATTATGGGAGATATGTAAGTAGACAATTTAAATCGAAAAATTTGTGATGTTAAAGCCAAATCGACAGCCATACAGGAAAAGTATGAGAAGAGGTTATATAGAGTTATATTAATTGAGATATTTCTATATTATAGGAAAAGTATGAGAAGAGGTTATGTAGAGTTATTTTAATTGAGATATTTCTATAATACAGGAAAAGTATGAGGAGAGGTTAAATAGAGTTATATTAATTGAGATATTTCTATATTATAGGAAAAGTATGAGAAGAGGTTATGTAGAGTTATTTTAATTGAGATATTTCTATATTATAGAAAAAGCATGAGAAGAGTTTATATAAAGTTACATTAATTGAGATATTTTTATATTGTAGGAAAAGTATGAGAAGAGGTTATGTAGAGTTATTTTAATTGAGATATTTCTATATTATAGGAAAAGTATGAGAAGAGGTTATATGGAGTTATATTAATTGAGATATTTCTATATTATAGAAAAAGCATGAGAAGAGTTTATATAAAGTTACATTAATTGAGATATTTTTATATTGTAGGAAAAGTATGAGAAGACGTTATATAGAGTTATATTAATTGAGATATTTCTATATTATAGGAAAAGTATGAGAAGACGTTATATAGAGTTATATTAATTGAGATATTTCTATATTATAGGAAAAGCATGAGAAGAGTTTATATAAAGTTACATTAATTGAGATATTTTTATATTGTAGGAAAAGTATGAGAAGACGTTATATAGAGTTATATTAATTGAGATATTTCTATATTATAGGAAAAGTATGAGAAGACGTTATATAGAGTTATATTAATTGAGATATTTCTATATTATAGGAAAAGCATGAGAAGAGTTTATATAAAGTTACATTAATTGAGATATTTCTATATTTTAGGAAAAGTATGAGAAGAGGTTATGTAGAGTTATTTTAATTGAGATATTTCTATAATACAGGAAAAGTATGAGAAGAGGTTATAAAGAGTTATATTAATTGAGATATTTCTATGTTATAGGAAAAGTATGAGAAGAGGTTATATGGAGTTATATTAATTGAGATATTTCTATATTATAGGAAAAGTATGAGAAGACGTTATATAGAGTTATATTAATTGAGATATTTCTATGTTATAGGAAAAGTATGAGAAGAGGTGATATAGAGTGATATTAAATGAGATATTTTTTTATATTTTAGGAAAAGTATGAGAAGAGGTTATATAGAGTTGTATTAATTTAGATATTTTTATATTATAGGAAAAGTATGAGAAGAGGTTATATGGATTTGTATGATTTGAATAGAGATTTAATCAATGGTTATAAAATAAGATGTACAAATCATCAAGAATTAGTGACATGTTTAAAACAAGTCAATCAGATCATACAGAAGGCAGGCAGACTACGGGGTAAGGGAGATAACTCATATATCAAATACATATTATTTCTGTGCTGTTTCTATAATCATTAGTTTAGAGGGGTCTGGTAGATGCCACAGAATTGACCAGGGAGGCTCACATGCAGTTCTTTCACTATGTTAAATGATAAAAAAATTTGGGGTGATGGCAAAGTTGGGCCATCCTCTTTTCTGGAGTAGCCATCAACCGCCTTGCCCTGGTGTTGATTTAATCCTATCTATCTTAATCTAACTTAAGATTATTTTTCTCTTTTCAGTTGGTAAATATAAAACACAAGTAGTGAATTCATGTCGAGCAGCCATTAAAAATAATAATGTCAGTTCTTTATACAAAATAATTAGAACTGGCTTTGTGTAGACGTCTTTCTTGTGATATAGTGTTGTATTCCGTCCAGACGTTTGTAGTCAGCAACATACTAACTGTTTGGTTTTAAGAAATCTGATTGGTTTAAAGCAGACCGTAGCTACAGGGAGACAAGGGGAGAGGGGAAATGCACCCCCAAAAAATGGATTAGACCCCTGAAAAAATTATGATAACCAATTTCATTACTGCAAATAAACACCGCACACCATTGCTCCTCCGGAAATATTACTGGCTTAAAGAGCCTAGTTTAAAGAAAGAATATTCAATTTCAAAAGGATATACAGTAGTCATCTAAGTATTTGCTACACAAGCTGATAGAATTCAATTAAAGCTATTCTTATCCCTTTTCAGAATTAAAATCTGACACCTGGTTTTCCTACAATTCAAAAGTTCACCCGTATAGTCAAGACACACTGTTATATTTTGATGACAATTTCCCTTTAATTAATCAGATTTTTTTATAGTTAAGATATATTTGTTTTTTTATGTCTTAGTAGAAGATTGTCAGCACAATATCATCCTATTTTATCATTTCTTCGTCACTGTGATATATTTGTTAAATATCTTTACTATTGGTTCTAATCTGGAACGAATAGTGTGGACTGGCCCTCTGTAATTGTAACAGTATGATATACCGTATATTTGTGTGTATATTGCGCCGATTTTGTACCCTAAAAAAAGAAGCTTCTCAAACTGGGAGTGCGCAGTAGATATCGACAAAAAATTTCGGAATTTGTAATGAAGAGTTTGTCAGATCTGGAAAGAGTAATTTACCTGCTAAAAAAGAAATTGATGGAACTGGCAAAATTAGAGGTGTATTTTGATGTTATTATGAGAGGGACTTGATTGATCTGAACAGTTTCTTCAGCAGTTTTGATGATATATTTGCCATTACTTTATTACTCTATATGAATAAGATTGATTGTTGTCATTGAATTGAAATTGATTCAGTCTTGAAATGGTCCATTACAGATAGATAATTAAAGGTATTGATATTACTTTAGCACTTGAAGCACACACCCCACTGTCTCTATAGCTCCCCGTAGAAACGCCGCAGATTTTAAAGTGTAGAAATGAGTACTACAGTAGGGACGAAGGCTAAATTTTGTAATTGTAATATTTCTAAAACTTATATTTTCTGTAGTGGGCGTACATCTCTTTGTCTCCTAATGTTTTGTTTGTTCATTGTGTGTTTTAGTTGTATTTTAATGTGAAGTTACTATTTTTTTTCATTGTTATATTATGAACATAAGAATATATCAAAATATTGTAGTTTTAAAACTGAATGAATTCCATTAAATGCTCAGAAGAAACAAAAGTATTATTTCATGTATTACTCATCTACTCGAATAGATCAAATAAAACAGCCAGATTTAATTTGTCAGCTTCCGATGATGTCTTGAATCTTGGAATAGACCAGAGCTTGCCTTTAAACTATACAAAAAAACCAGCATTCAAGGGCTTTCAACATATGGTGAACCTATTCCTTCAATAAATAATTAGCTTTATTGTGCCTTATCCCATGGGAAATTGTCCTCAAATGAATTATTCACAGGAAAGTAGAGGCAAATCTATGAACTAGAAAAAACTTAAAATTTAAAGTCATTGGTCAATAAGTGTATATATTCATCAGTTGGGCTTACTAGGTGCTATGACTAAAGAGTAGAATCTCTATATAAGACGATATATCCTTTAAACTAAATAAATTACTTATATCAATGAATTATTACTTAGTTTAATAGATTTATTTGATTATAGAGGGATTCTGTTGAAAAGTTATAACAACAGGCATGTCCACTGATGAAAAAAACTCATTTTGGCCAAGTTGAAACATTTCAATTTTTTAGTCATCCTAAGAGGTAGCATACCTTTAACTAATTGACGGGTATCGTGTGGCACAGAAAAACTCTTTATTTCAGGATTATTTACAAAGTTTTAGATCATAATGACCTTAAATATATAGAGAAATAGCTTCATAGGTTGAAACAATTTGAAAAAAAATTTAAAAACCTTGTCAAATTGTATGTAATTTCCCCATTTTCAGTACCCCCCATAACAGCTTTGCCATTGTCTTTCTAATTTTATTTTATTCCATATCTCCCTTATAGTTTTTATCCTATGTTGGGATGTTAAGTCAAATTCGATGATGTTTTTCGAAGCTGTGGAGCTCCGTGCTTCATTAACGGTGTTTCTATTACTCTGAGGGACTTGCATTCAAATGGGGCAAAAATTTAGAGCCTCTAAGTTAAATGAGAACACACACTTCGCAAGCCCAATAAGACACTGAAATCTAGGATACTTATCCTGAAATGATAAGTTTGTGGTTTTAATCTGAATATCTTGTTTTATCCTTCCGTTTGACAATTATCCGTTTCCTTTTTTCTGATATATTTGTTCCGTTGTTCATTACTTGTTTTCCGCCTCTTACCTAAAAACCTGCTTCCAACAGATCGTTATCACGATGTCTATATTATTAATTATTGATTTATACACTATAGAACTCTGTATACAGGAAGAAGATGAAACCAGTCTAACAAACAAAGTAAAGTTAATTGTAAAGCTATATAACTAAGGATTGAAGTTAATTGGTAAAAGATTTACACTGAAATCCTGTTATAAATGAATAAATAAAATTCTTTCTATATTGTTGTTCTGAACTAAAATCAAACGGAGCTTAACGCCCTTAAATGGAAAAAAAACTTTTAATGTCATGTAGTGCATTATGAGGACAGTTCATCCTAGTCTTTTATTTTTCGATCTATGTACGAAATTTGTAACGTTACAATTCCTGATTTCCCCCTGTCAGTGATGCAGGTAAGAGGAACTGACATAGAAAAAGCGTCTAGTCGTTCGGATGGGACAATAAACCGAGGCCCCGTGTGCTATAGACTGTGCAATGATCCCTCGACATTTGGAAATCGAAAAAGAGCAGGATAATGTCACAGTCATTGCACCTTGCAGGGCGTTGTCCATCTTCATTAGTCCAACTTGTGCAGAAAAGTAGGACGTAAAGCTCCATTCATTTCATTTTTCATTTTTCAATTGCACAACTAAATCTACCATTTATTACCTCGACAGATTCAGCTTTACGCGGACTGCCGATGATTGCTGAATGTATCTTGGGTCTCACCGTTGAAGTATAGACTGTCGTAATTCCCGACAGTTTTTGGCATTCACAAGGGCACCTTATATATCAACGGCAGTGAATAATGTATTTTGAAAGGTGTTATTGAGCACTATCGGCAAGAGGCGAACATTTTTAGAGGACTACATCGCTCTGAAAGCTGTATCCATTGGGTCGTCTCAATTTTAGATTGCATTAACGACATCATTGTTCCAAACGTCACCATAAATAAATAGATGGCGATATTGTATTAGTGCAGGTATATGATATTATCTATGACTTGTTAACGATGTTATTAATTTATTGTAACTATAGATTTCAACTGATGGTATCATCATTATGTCATGCTATTACTTCGTACTTAAATCTTGCCTGCAATAGCCATTTTTCTTGTATCATGGAATGCAGCGATTTGATTGGATTATACGCCAGCGAATACAGTCAATCAGGGCCCTATGGCTTTGTAGTCACTGACTTTCTGTCGTGGCCTCTGATTGGTTGTACCTGCTAGCGTACAATCCAATAAAATCGTTTCATTAACATACTTCCATTATACAAGAAAGGTGATTATTGCTGTCAAGATATTAGTAAAAAAATTGTAATAGCGTGACATTGTGAAGATGAACTGAATGCCAATGGAAAAATACGTTACAATCCGACTTCTGTTGCATGGGATTTTTATTCCATTATTCGACATGATTTCCTTTCCTTGTTTTTCTTTACCACACGACAACGTAAATAGCAAACAATCAGTAAGGGAATAACATTCATTATTTCCCTTCCTTAGGTATTGTCTTTTCTATGTACATATCAACAGAGATACGATTTTCGCAAAATTGATTTTTATAGAAGATAATGGGGTTAAACACATCGATATTCAATTGAGTAAGCTTTAACAATCGTTTTATATGCCCTTGGTTTATATAATATTGGCTATAGGGAAAGGAATGTAGTACTTAAAACCAAATAAAATAACAGACTTACGTTACCTTACAACTTTAAAATAAACAGGAAGATCATGCGAGTATTCTAGCTCTCGAAACACCCGTTGCTAATCTGCAACCGAATAAGTAATCAGCTAGAGACTAAAAGACATTCTATTGTGATACAATTATCATCCGAAAGAATTGTATTTTAGATATTCTTGTTCTTTGCACATTTTTGCATTAGACTATAATCCGTGGAAGAGACAATTTCTCAAGTGCGTACTTGTATACAGCTCAAAATCTAAAACTGTAAAATAGAGGAAAGGATACCTTGAAAAATTAATCATTTTGTCTGTTTAACTATTCGTGTCACTGGTTGTATCGATTTCAATGGATTTTAATCACCTGAGTATATTGAGTTCTTTCCATAGGGAACAGACTTCCCGAGGAAATTATGTGAAAAAGTTCAAACGTATGGGTATGTGTTGGAGAAGAATTAAAATTTCAAACTTTCGTTAACTTTTGAAGGATGAAGTTGGAAGAAGTTTTGGTATTTGTTTTTCTAATTTTGAATGTAGAGACACAGCAGGAACAGTATTTTGCCTCATCCGATTTTCCTGTATTAGATTATGAAGATTTAAAAACCTCAACAGTCCTTTATAATGTCAGAAACAAAATACGATGTGGAATTATTTGCTCACAAATTTGTACATCATCTCAAACCAATAAGATAATGTACAATGTTGATCATCCAAATATAACTCAATCACAATGTGCTGTTTTTAATGGTAATTGTTATTTTGTTAAAAAGGTAAGTTATTTTACAATTACAAATAATTATATAAATTTCATTTATTTCAGGTTACGTCATGTATAAAAGTTAGAAGCGATAATGTAACTATTTTGATATATTTTAGGTTACGTCATGTATAAAAGTTACAAGTGATAATGTAACTATTTTGATATAGTTTAGGTTACGTCATGTATAAAAGTTACAAGTGATAATGTAACTATTTTGATATATTTTAGGTTACGTCATGTATAAAAGTTAGAAGTGATAATGTAACTATTTTGATATATTTTAGGTTACGTCATGTATAAAAGTTAGAAGTGATAATGTAACTATTTTGATATAGTTTAGGTTACGTCATGTATAAAAGTTAGAAGTGATAATGTAACTATTTTGATATATTTTAGGTTACGTCATGTATAAAAGTTAGACGTGATAATGTAACTATTTTGATATATTTTAGGTTACGTCATGTATAAAAGTTAGAAGTGATAATGTAACTATTTTGATATATTTTAGGTTACGTCATGTATAAAAGTTAGACGTGATAATGTAACTATTTTGATATATTTTAGGTTACGTCATGTATAAAAGTTAGAAGTGATAATGTAACTATTTTGATATATTTTAGGTTACGTCATGTATAAAAGTTAGAAGTGATATTGTAACTATTTTGATATATTTTAGGTTACGTCATGTATAAAAGTTAGAAGCGATAATGTAACTATTTTGATATATTTTAGGTTACGTCATGTATAAAAGTTAGAAGTGATAATGTAACTATTTTGATATATTTTAGGTTACGTCATGTATAAAAGTTAGAAGTGATAATGTAACTATTTTGATATATTTTAGGTTACGTCATGTATAAAAGTTAGAAGTGATAATGTAACTATTTTGATATATTTTAGGTTACGTCATGTATAAAAGTTAGACGTGATAATGTAACTATTTTGATATATTTTAGGTTACGTCATGTATAAAAGTTAGAAGTGATAATGTAACTATTTTGATATATTTTAGGTTACGTCATGTATAAAAGTTAGAAGTGATATTGTAACTATTTTGATATATTTTAGGTTACGTCACGTATAAAATTTAGAAGTGATAATGTAACTATTTTGATATATTTTAGGTTACGTCATGTATAAAAGTTAGAAGTGATAATTTTACTACGACGTGTTCCTGTTTATTTCCCTATTATGGTTCTTATTGCCATCTTATTCTTTCATGTGAGTACCCTTTCAATGATTGTTACTACCAAAAGGATGCCGATTTGACAAACAAAGCCGCAGTACAGTATTATGTGTTGTGGAACGATAAATTTTCCCAGCTCGCGAGATGTTTGTGGACCTACATGTAGAGTTTAATCATTGAAATAGATTTAACGATCTGACCAAAATTTAAGAGTACCTGGAAAATTTGTATCTGAGACCAAGTCGAAGGTGTATGATATTCATCAAGAATGATACCTTTAAAAATAAAATACAGGAAATCTCTTTCCAGAGGCGGATTAACCTATAGGCAAACTAGGCAGCTGCTTTCGGCCCATGGAAAATTCGGCCCATGACAAATTTTGTAGCAGTAAAAATAAAACAGTTAATAACTTTCCTCAGGCCCATCGAATATTGTCCTACTAGGAGCGTGATGTGTGAGAATCGACTCAATTGTTTGAGCCTAATGGTGATGAATGCCGATATCGTGCATACATTGATGCTGATGAGCTGACTGATTTGTTCCTGAAAAAAAAAGATCGCAAACTTCCTGCCATAAAATTGTAGTCACACCATGCCCCCTCCCTAAAATGAGAAATTTGACCCTCTACAGTTCGTTTGCCTACGGCCCAACAAGTTTCAAAATACGCCACTTCTATTTTTTTCTTTTATACATTCAGCCTGTGAAGATGTGAAGCATTCAATGGAATCATTGGTAAATGGAATTTATAGCGTAACAACGATTCGTGGAGAGATTATAGAGATATTCTGTGATTTCCAAAAAACTCAAATCATAACTTTTATCTCTAAAAAGAGCTTATCCTATCTGACAACCCCAGATTTGATGCAGTTTGGATCAAACAGAACCCGAGTTGTTCTTCGGCAAAATTGGATAAACTACCAGAAAGATTCAATCCTTTCACAGTTGACAACACATTCGTCGATTCCTTTGTCCATTTATATCAATGGAATTGGAAATTTTAAAGAGCCAGTAAACACGGTCTTGGGAGAATATCTATATTTAGGTTTTCTTAATAAAAGTTCTATCCATAAGGGTAGTATAAATGGTTACGCTACCGATTCAAAAGATCAAAATTTCTCAAATTGTAACAACGATAGTAACAGTTACTTTAATTTTTATCCGAATTTGGAAAACGAAAATCCGTCAATCACTACAAATAGTTCTATTAAAGTCGATATGTTCGCTTGGACAAAAACTGGTGTGAGGATAGCTGAAAATCAGAAACTATCCTCTGACTATTTCTATGTTACCGAAATACATTTTGGCGGATGTGGTGGGCTTACAACGTCAAGTATTTGGAGATCCGTTAATGGAACGGCTCTTGGATTGATAACAGACTTTTAAACTCGTTTAGTGAAATTTAAAAGCTGCCGAATGATATAAATTATCTAATAATATGTACATGCACTGCAGTGGTTCACGTTACCAAAGCTTTATCACTGTGATTAAGTCGTCAATATATTGTTTTGCTTTACCACTTTCAATTGTAGCTAAACATCACTTTCACTAATTCTACAATTCTATAAAAAAAAAAATATCGATAACAAAAGAATGTTTTAACCTCCCCGGAAGTGAGGCCAAGATTCTGATTATGAAAACTGATACGTATAGCTGAATCCGAACTCGTTCAACTGGTAAAGCAGATAATTGTAGACTCTTTATAACTGTGTTGTTCAGGTCAAATATACAGCTAATGTTGAGTTTATTTCTTGTAAAAGATAACTTTTATATTTATTTATAGCTCACTGTTCATCGAAATGCGTAAACAACAGAGAAAAACCAGCTATGGACATTGTCTTAATGTAGTAGTTGAAGATGCGAAAAGACAAGGTACGGTGTCTAGTTTTGAGTATGATTCGGATTAGATTTAGTAAATAAATCATCTTTTTTCTTAGTCCGACAAATCTGACCCTACATACTCCTCCATTGTGCAAAATGTGGCTGTGATATTGTCACCACGCCTCGGACATGACATGCGGATGTGATATCGTCACCACGGCCCGGACATGATATGTGGATGTGATATCGTCACCACGCCTCGGACATGACATGCGGATGTAATATCGTCACCACGCCTCGGACATATGCGGATGTGATATCGTCACCAAGTCTCGGACATGATATGCGGATGTGATATCGTCACCACGCCTCGGACATGATATGCGGATGTGATAATGTCACCGCTCATCAGACGTGATATGCGGACATGAGGAATCGTTAGGGTCAAATTTGTCGGCCTCCTATTTTCTCTTGCAAATAATACTGTAATAAATATACTAAATAAAGAATATTAGCAATGTGGACTCTCTTGTTGAACGTTCTTATTGATGTGTATACGAACCCAATATTGAAAGAAACTTCTTTATGTTGACAAAGTTAGCTTTCACTGGGTTAGAAAATTAATTTGTAAACTAATCGATGTTGGATGATAGATATATTGATAATAAACATGAAAAATAACAAAAGAACACAGAAATTGATCTAACATTTTAATGAACTTCCCTGTTTGAATGGACTTAGAATTGGTGAAACTGAAAAGATTAAAACGACATGCAACAACGTTATTCACATTATGATACATCAATGCTAAATTATGCATTCACCATATAACGGTGTTGACAGAATTATATTTAATATCTGTAAGAGTTGATTGACAGAATTATATTTAATCTCTGAAACGATTGGTTGACAAAAAATATTTACTCTCTGTAACGGTTGCTTGACAGAATAATATTTACTCTCTGTAACGGTTGCTTGACAGAATAAACTTTGTAATCTCTGTAACGATGTGTTGACAGAATGATATTAAACAATATAAAATTGGTTAACAGCATTATATTTAATCTCTGTTACGGTTGGTTGACAGACTAATATTGAATCTCTGTTCAGGTACAATTTCGAACGCTCCGATTAGATTGTTTCTATTGGTTTCACGTTTGGAGTTTGTCGATCCCGATCACCATGATTCGGAAGCACGATAAGATGCGATGCAAACGTGGTCGCACATTGTTCAGATACAATTTTGCCATTTATCGCAAAGGCGCCCTTCGGTTTTTGATGAACGTATAGTAACGTATCTGTACGTATCAGACAGTTCCTTTTCGAGAAATCCGATGGCGTTGATCGTATGTTATTCAAACTGACAAATCGTGAGCAGATCATATGCGAACACAACAAATCGTTTCAAAGGGTATTTATATAAAGATATATTTGAGCTACAATCCCATAATTCCAAATGATCAATCGTAACATTGGAATAAAAATCCGTACAAGCAAGTCAATTCCATCGATCAAAAATCTCGCCCAATGAATGGCAAAATCGGGAGTAAAAGTAGTATACTAGTGAACTCCTCCAAAGAGTACCACTAGGTGTTCCAAGTGGGAACCTAGCATTAGCCAATGGGAACCTAGCATTAGCCAGTGGGAACCTAGTAATAGCAATGGAACATAAATGATAAATAGAACATAAATGATAAATAGAACATAAATGATAAATGCTCAGAGGAAGCATACATCAATAATTTATAATAGTGTGTGTAGCCAACATGTAAATAAAAGAAATTATATAAACACAATCACATACACATACAACATGCAAAGAAAGATATTAGCCAGATCGAAGCATTTAACATCTAAGCTACAAGAAATGAACTAGTATTTTACGGTCGTCATCATGAACTAGTTGCAAAAATATAGAACATATGTTTCTACTATCATCGCAGATGTTTTTGTTTAATGACCATGTTTAAACTTGTCAACACAATAATATGACGAGTTGACGCCAGATGATATAGTTATGGATGCGGATGTTTGCAACATTTTTTCTTATCATAACAATATTTTTTGTTTTTAAGCAGCTATGACGGGTTTGGCAGTTTGGTAGAGTTTACGTACTCTTCTAGACCCCTGATACCACTTTTTAGAGGAACTGGATGATAGAGGCTATGGGATTTTTATTGAAGCATTTCAAATCCAAGCTACAAAAATTTTACGGCCGTCATCATGAACTTGTTTGCAAAAATATATCAAAGTTTTTTTTTGTTTTTTTTTTAAACAATGAAACGAACAAATGTTTTTTTTTAAATGATTCAAATAATAATGAGAAATACAATAATCTATTTTCATCGGTAAGAATAAAACGTCACAAAAACTATAAATTTATCTTAAGGACACAGCCCGGTAATTCATTTCCATGTTAAATCTCGAAATTCAACCCTCTATAACTTTTTCCAGAAATCTCGCTGAAATCTTTACATATGTCACATAAAAGCCTGGCCAATGCTTAGTTTCTAGACAAAAATTCAATATATAGATCCAGAAATATTGCCAATTATAGATTTTCGATGGGATTTTAAATTTAAAGAACAGGTTTAAAGCTGACAGAGATCCAGAAATACGAGGTACGGTTTCCGTTGTGGAATAAATTGCAGGGCCTTTCCGAAGCAGCTGCTGTCAATGCTTGAAATTGGTACAGCAAATATTTTGACGACTTCATAATAACTCAGCTTGACAACTACCACTAGTGCAATATGCATTATAAGATAGATTTTAACACACGGCAGCTTTAAAATTTAAGTAATTTAAGTGTTAAAAGTTTAAGTAATCAAATATCACAGAACGAGTTTAAAAGTCTGTTATCAATCCAAGAGCCGTTCCATTAATGGTTCTCCAATAACTTGAAGTTGTAAGACCACCACATCCGCCAAAATGTATTTCTGTCACATAGAAATAGTCTAAGGTAAGTTCCTGATTTGCAGCAATCGTCACTCCAGTTTGTGTCCAAGCGAATATATCGACTTTATTCGAAGCATTTGTAGTGTATGTCGGTTCTTTGTTTTCCAAATTCGGATAGAAATTGAAGTAACTGTGACCGAACTCTTTACAATTTGCAAAATCGTTATCAACAGAATCGGTAGCGTAACCATTGACGCTATCCTGGTAAATATTGCTTAAATCTAGAAAACCTAGAAATATAAAATCACCAAAAACCGTGTTTGCTGGCTCTTTAAAATTTCCAATTCCATTGATATAAATGGACAAAGGAATCGACGAATGTGTTGTCAACTGTGAAAGGATTGAATCTTTCTGGTAGTTTATCCAATTTTGCCGAAGAACAACTCGGGTTCTGTTTGATCCAAACTGCATCAAATCTGGAGTTGTCAGATAGGATAAGCTCTGTTTAGAGATAAAAGTTATGATTTGAGTTTTTTGGAAATCACAGAATATCTCTATAATCTCTCCACTAATTGTTGCTACGCTATAAATTCCATTTACCAATGATTCCATTGAATGCTTAACATCTTCACAGGCTGAATGTATAAAAGAAAAAATATGTTAGTATTTATTGAAAATATAAGAAAGTACATGCGTGTTAGAATTGAAGGGTTTATCACGATGGATGGCATGTATCTTCGCCATTTTCTGAAAGACCAAATGTTTCAGGTACTCTTAAGTTTTGGTCAGATCGTTAAATCTATTTCTATTTCTTTATATGATAAAACTAAAGGTCATTCAACGGCATTGTGTGGCTCAGTAACAAAAGGGTACTCACATGAAAGAACAAGATGGCAATAAGACCCATAATACGGAGACATACAGGAACACGCTGAATTATTACTTCTCCTTTTAATACATGACGTAACCTAAAATATATCAAAATAGTTACATTATCACTTCTAACTTTTATACATGACGTAACCTAAAATATATCAAAATAGTTACATTATCACTTGTAACTTTTATACATGACGTAACCTAAAATATATCAAAATAGTTACATTATCACTTCTAACTTTTATACATGACGTAACCTAAAATATATCAAAATAGTTACAATATCACTTCTAACTTTTATACATGACGTAACCTAAACTATATCAAAATAGTTACATTATCACTTCTAACTTTTATACATGACGTAACCTAAACTATATCAAAATAGTTACATTTTCACTTCTAACTTTTATACATGACGTAACCTAAACTATATATCACTTCTAACTTTTATACATGACGTAACCTGAAATAAATGATAAGATAACTTACCTTTTTAACAAAATAACAATTACCATTAAAAACAGCACATTGTGATTGAGTTATATTTGGATGATCAACATTGTACATTATCTTATTGGTTTGAGATGATGTAGAAATTTGTGAGCAAATAATTCCACATCGTATTTTGTTTCTGACATTATAAAGAACTGTTGAGATTTTTAAATCTTTGTAATCCAGTAAAGCAGAATCGGATGAAGCAAAATACTGTTCCCGTTGTGTCTCTACATTCAAAATTAGAGAAACAAATACCAAAATTTCTTCCAACTTCATCCTTCAAAAGTTAACGAGTATTTCATCCCCAATAAAAGTCTTTTCACATAATTTCATCGTGTCATCTGTTCCAACTGAAATAACACAAGCTTTCTCGATGATTAAAATTCTGCGAAATCGATAAAAACCTGTAAAGCGAAAAAAAAAAAAAAAAAAAAGGCGAAATGATTTGAAGGTGTATACCATTATCTATGTTTTAGTTCTGGAGTTTGAGCTTAATTTTTAAAATACCAACTTCAGCATTGTTTAAAATTAGATTAAAATTTCGTATCTTTTTTGTTCTCTGATATTTTAGTCTTCATGGTAATTTAAGAAGTTTTCTATCAAAGGCTTGTCCCAATTGTAGTATTTTCAACCAATCAAACCGTTTCTTTGCTATCCCACAATTCCTTATTCTATATAAAAAAAAAATGATACGAAATTGTAACCTAATTACAACTAGATTGTCCTACCCCGGATTTTATTTTGAAAATGTGCAAAGGACTCACATGAATTTTTCCCTATCCTGAATTATAGTCTAACTGGAAAATGTGCAAAGGACAAGAATATCTTAAATAGAGCCTTGTTGAATGATAATTACATCTCAATAGCCTAAATCACACAAAGGCCATGTTACTCTGTAGCTGCCTTACGGAAACTGCACAGAATTGCTGAATGGTCCTGCGTATCGTGTGATCTTTCTGTTCATTGTAAAGTTGTAAGGTAACGTAAGTCTGTTATTTGAATTCGAAATCTATATTTCCTTTAGTATTAGGCAATATTATATCTAAACCGAGGACACATAAACGATTCTTAAATCTTTGTCGATTCAATATCGATGTATGTGACACCATTATCTTCTATGCAAATCAATTTTGCGAAAATTCTATCTCTGTTAATATAGATTGATAGATAATAGACAATGCCTTAGGGGGAACTTGAGTGTTATTCCCTTGCTGATTATCTGTTATTCGTGTTGGCAGATGCAAAGAACTAAGGATAGGAAAGCTAGCTCGTCGGACGTTAGAAAATAAATCAATTGAAGCAAAAATGGGATTGTTACGTATTTTCATAATGACACCAACTGACACAAACTAGCCAACCTTGACTTTCAAACTAATGAAAAAAATGGCACAGTAAACAGAGAATCTCACATTTCTTCCAAACTTAGCAGAAACTCCGAACATTATCTCTATGTTATATCAATGACATCGAATGATAACAACATTGAAAATAGTTGAAATATGTCCGTTTGCAATCTAACAATTATACATAATATTAAGATATAGTGTTCCGAATATTTTAGAATTATCGCCAAAAATTGACCTGCAGAATCTGACGTATACATATCAATGGCTATGTTGATAAATTTCACCCGATGTAGTCTGTAGGGTGTGTAACTCTTGTTCGTCACAAATTTTTCTGGTGGAAATTTAGAATTTATTTACACTCTTCTTACTTACTAACTCACTTTTCAATAATTATTTAGTTTAGTATAGAGACTGTCTACAGAGACTTCAAATTTTATGTCCAATATAGGAGGTAAATTGGAGGCCTGTTGTTTTTGCTTATCGCTACACTTCGGTCCGAAGCTGTAGATGGAATGGCGGACCAGTTATCTGAGAGGTAATAATGATAATAATAATAATAATAAACTCTTTATTATATACACAAGGACTTTGCCATGTCTAACATTCAGCCCATGGGAACAATATAATGAATGAATAAAAAAAATAATCTGCACAATATTTCGATGTAGGCTACAATTTGTTTATAAGTATACAAGTATGTGTATTAGATGCACATTATATGTTGCTGTGATCGAATACATGACCGCATAAAGATGTACAAGCTATCACAGTTCTGCCTCACAAGTGCAGAGAGAGTATACTTCTTCCTGGTCTGTAAATTGGTTAAGTACAGAAATGGTGAAGTTTATCTAATTATATAGTATGAGGATCTAATTGTCAAGAAAAAAATTTTTCAATTTACATAGTGAAAGAATAACCTTCCCCCCCCCCCCCCCCCCCCCCTCCACCTATAAGCTCCCCAACCCCCCACGTCACCCTTAATGTTGCCTAGAAATGCCACTGATAGGAGGTATGGTTTTTATTGTCCATATGTTTCTTATGTGTTTATATAATTCATTACATCATGTGTTTTTGGTTCTGCTAGACCTAGCCTACTATTTATAAATTATAGAAGTACCCAGCCTTTACCTATAGAGTCGCGCTCTATTCAATTCGCTTAAAGGAGCAGTATGCACCAGCTTCAAATAAAAAGAATTGTGAGCAGATTATTTCTCCTCTTGATATATCATTTTATTAAGATTGTCGCCAATTTTTGGCAACAGTCCGATTTTCATAATTTGTTACACATAAGTTTGCGTATTCACAGAAGGCTCTAAATTTATGGACTTTATTTTACTCCCATTTGACAAATCACTGCTAAACATCCGTATTAAAGAGTCCCGCCCCAGAAGACACAATTATATCTACCATTCATAGCCGAGACAGATGCAGCTTTTCGGAAACTGTAGAATTGCCAAATCATGCATCACAGTGATTTCAGAGGTACAGGTGGCTATATTGCTTGACTCTCCAAAAAGGTAGGATTTCCTATAGAAAGCTCTATAATTTGATTGTGACAAAAAGGGGACAAAGGCTATTCTTGGAACTCAAATATAAGCTTTTTTCAGTGGTAGCGGGAACAATAGTAGAAATACGAAACATGCTGGCTTTTGCAATTAATTTGGTTACCAAAACCATATCCCTTTCTTCAATACTAAAAAAGGGGAAGCTCACCCATTCCTTCTTTTTAAAACTACGATTGACATTTGCAATTATAGCATATATTATAGTATAATTACAAATCAGATAACACTCAATGAGTACTGCAGACTTTTTTGCACGTAATGTTCATTAAGTATATAATTAATTCACACATTATGTAATTTTGAAAAATTAGTGACTCATCTCAGAACTTTAAACATTACAAAGGTTATGCGTCGTCTCACATGCTTATGAATGTCCTGAAAATCTCTTTGAAGGAATTGCTAAAGATAATTCTACAGTATGTAGAATATATTATCCTAAATAAAATCGCATTTATACAGGCTCAGGCTACATGTGATAATGTCAAATAGTCGAGCCTCTCTCGGCCACTTTGAGACCTCGGGCTAGCTACGGCCTGATTCTCTTTCCTTATACAGTATTAGACCGAAACATCTGCCTCCCTTCAAGTCTCTGATAGATATTTTGTCGGCTCGTGGAAATATTGAAAAACTGTTTTGTGAGGTTTTAATGTATGTAAATCGGATTCGCCACACACAGATTTTTTGTCACGTCTGCGTTTCTATTTTTAGCGAATCTCTCGTCGACCATTTAAAACTGCGGGCGCAGCCAAAAGTTCAAGGGTCACAGAGTCACGCGATACTCACAAAACGAAAGTTGCGGTGATGACTAAAACTACTGGGCCCTATTTTTTCTGACTCTACTCCAGTCAATAACTGTCAAAATATCTATCAAAGGCTTGAATTGAGACAGACGTTTCAGACTATCCTGATATATAAGTATGCAGTAAGGCCTACCAACTCTATAAGTACAGATTTTTTTTATGTTTTAAAGTGAGAGATATTGTTTCTATAATAAGCAGTAATTAAAATAATTACTTTGATGATGTATAAAAGTTTCTGAATGTTGTCTTCTGTCACATTATATTCGAGACACCAATACCTTACCAATTCTTCACCATGTGGAAAATAATCTTGGCATTTTCCTGTTTCGTGGTAAGTAAACTTATAACTTTTTAGCGACGGTGTCCTGCTCATTTTGTTCAATCTAAGATATTGGCGTTAAAAAGTTTTTTTCATAGGCTCAACTAGATGAGTGTGGGCTCGTGGACTTAACTGGAAATCTTTTTAACACATGCTCAAAAGTAGGACCTAAAACTCCATTCATTTTTTTTTTCATTTCTCTTATATTCTGAGCATAAGTTGTAAACCATTTTATATTGTTTGTTATCCTTTAGGATACTTACTTTGGGTAGATGTTTTTCAATGTGAATTGTGATCCTTAGGGACGGGGACCCTAGGACTTCATTGCTGTAGACTTGCAAAGGTTGGCTAATAATGAAAATTATTGTTGGACATATTTTTCTAACTCTGTCCTGCAAGGTCTATTCATATTGAGATATTTGCCATCTGTTGCAGGATAGTTTTGTTATTGTTATAGAATCGTAAATGAAATGAATGGAGCTTTATGTTCTACTCACCATATAGGGCTAACGAAGACCGACAATGCCATGCAGAGTGCAATGAGGGAAATGTTGACAGGGCAGCGCCATGCAGAGTGCAATGAGGGAAATGTTGACAGGGCAGCGCCATGCAGAGTGCAATGAGGGAAATGTTGACAGGGCAGCGCCATGCAGAGTGCAATGAGGGAAATGTTGACAGGGCATCGCCATGCAGAGTGCAATGAGGGAAATGTTGACCTGCATCACTGACAATTTTAAAATATTGATGTATGGGAGGTAACTCCATCACTATTTCTGTTATTGCTTCCAATGGGTTATTTTAACATTCTGGGAAGTTTGGAAGTTTAAATTATTAAATTAAACATGAGAACATTGGATCAAGAATAACTTTTGTGATTCTAGAAAGTACTTAAACAAA